CGGCTGAGTCCAGGTCGCGTCGGCTCGGCCGGGCCGCCTGAATGGGTGGCGCGTTCAATTTAACGGATTTTCTTTTGTTTGATGCCCAATTTTATAGCTATTTGAACTGAGACGGTTAAGTGTAGCCGGTGCACATAAACTCGCAGAGCATAGTTTTTTTCCCCTGTGTTTTTTGTTCTTTTCATGTCGAACTATCGTTTCGGAGATTTCGTTCAAAACCGAAACTATATGGGCTCTGGAGAGTCGGTAATATATACTAATCAGTTTTGATCATCTAAGAAAAGCGGCAATGACCGCAGAATTCTTCCACCGACAGTAATTTTCAGCCAACTCGCATGCCTCGACCATCCGACTAATCTGTCCGCGAAATCGAGCTTTTGTGCGTATTCGCGTTTAAGAAACAGGCCCAGTCGTCTGCTCGGTCAACAACACAGGCTGCAGGAAAATTACGAAAATTAAGCAAGCGCTTCTTGAGCCAAGGATCATGTTAACCCGCCGGCACCCCACTAAGCAGCTGATACTCGTATTTCAATTCAGGTTTTAGTACCAATCGAGAAGCCATTTTGACGAGCGGTTATGTATTATTATTACGTACTATGTCCAACTAAAGCGGTATTAGCATATTCTTCGGGTTGAAATATGAGCTTAGTTGACTAACAATTAGGTGAACTGCTGAATAAAAGTATATTTGACAGACAGAGAGATACTACTTAAACTTAGCAAAATAGTTCTAACCGGCAGCACGGAGACAAACTGAAGAGAGTCTTCACTGGAGTTCATGCAGAACCTCTCCGCATTGAACTTTGCTTCGAATCCTGAACGGATCCGAAGCAAAGTTCAATATATAGTATTTTTGTATTTTTTGTAGAAGTATTTTTTGTGGCCGGTCAACCTGAGCAATGTAGACATATATTGCTGCTGGCTTCGACGGAGTATAATATAAATATTGGAAGCGTGATAGATCAAAATGCCGTAACAGCTTCGCTTCTAACGTTGCGAGACGCGTCCCCCACCTTTTGAAAACAGAAAATTTCCCTCACTCATCATTTGCAGCGAGCAGGTTTTCCTGAATCAAGTAATTGCGAAATCAGCCCAACTCCTTCAGAGTGCTCCAGAGGCTTTTTCGACGAAAAGCAGCCAAGATGAATAGCCAACGCACCGACCGGCGTGGGTGGCTCAAACTTGAAGCTAATCGAACACAACCAAACTCAAGAAAAGCAGCTATCGAACCTTCCCATTCACTTGACTGCAACATTGGTGTTCCCTCTAGTGAAATGCCTCGTCTGTCGACCTCAATCCACTGTTCTACATCCTTACAAAGAAGCCCCTTATCAGTTACCAAGTAGTCGTCACTCTGAATGTGATTCGAGACAGACAAGAAATCAAAACGTTTTCTCGCGATTCCTCCCCATCCAAGAAATCGAAAGCACGCGACCGTGTTTTGCGGTGTAAACGGGCTTTCAAACACGTGATGGAAGGAAACAATCTACTGAGGCTTCACCACACTAATGAACACTCAGGCAAACTTAAGACATTTTTGGACCTTCGTGAAATTACACTGTTCGCCATCGCGCCGACAACACGTGTCCGTGAGATCCACAAGAGACGTGGAGGGGCGCGAAGCGACCTGGACCGGCTGGTTCCCAATTTTCCCGCTTGGTGGCGTCCGTTTTGCTGGAGTCGCGAATACTCAAACGCATATTGCCCAGTCCTTAGATTCATATGTGTCACTTCTTGGACTGTCCGAATCTTTCTTCATGAAGTACAGACTGCGTGCCATACTGGTTCGAAAATATCATCGGCACGCACGATGGGGACGACACTTCTTAGATGGGCATCCCTCCAACGAAACTGGCGCTGTATACCCGCGAGTGCCGGATGGCATTTCAGTTCGTCCTATCGGCGCTAACATATGTAGGCGTTACTGGTACGAAAACAAACGCAGAGCGCAAAGCGGCAGTGTAGAATATGTCAGCGGTGCCGACACAGTAGCAGACATGATCGGGAGACCAAATTTATCGCGTTGTACGGCACGGGTGCAACGTTGTCGCTGCCCCACAAAACATCGGCGAGTTGAAAAACCGTGAAACTTTTTCCCCAAGAGATAGACGCATAAATATTGGAGCACTTAACGACGCAGCGGGTCATGATGTCAACCAAGCGCAACCGCACCGCTCTGACTTCAATGCGTACCAATGTTCGCGGCGTGGTTTCGTTTCCCTGGGGTTCTCACTACCTACCTTCGGTAATAGCCGATTCACAAGACGGACCAAATCGCGATTTTCGCCTGCGAACCGCGAACCACGTGACCGGCACGTCATCGATTTCTGCGATCCGCTTCTCGTCCGCGGTCCCGCGGACTGATTAAGTCGAGCGCCTTTTTCATTCGCGGATTTTTAGCGGGAGATTGACTTGAAAAGCGTTTAGTCTGGCAACGGTACATCGTTTTCTTGGTCTTTTTATTTCTGCCCGATTAAGACAAAAATGGCGCATCGCTCTGTTCTGTGCGTTCGCTGGTTCTTTTTCTCGCGCTATTCTTGGTTGCTCGCATCAAAGAAACTGCAGAAACTTTGTCCGGCTGACGCGAGGCAGGCTCCGTTACTCCACCGAGTCCGTGTCAAGAAGCTCCCGTCAAAACTCGCCTAGAACGCCGCGATAATTGCACGTGCAATCAGGATTTCGCCGAGCAAGACCTCACTTGTGGTTCTGGTGTACTTGAGTGTTGTGTACGAGCGCTGATTGCGTAAAGGCATTTCCAAACGTCCCTCCGCGTGCCCAGAACTTCGTCGCTCCTACGGTACGATGCTAGAGTTTCGCGGCAGTGTGGGGTGGCGAACAGGTTCGGTCCGTCCTCGCTGGCGTCTGCTCGTTGTCTCCCTTATGTGGGTGCGCTTGAGAGACGGACGAACCGCGGACATGTCGTCACGTGGTCAATCCGTCCGCGGATCAGTCCGTCGTGTGAGCCGGCGGCTGCGCGGCGGCGCGCCGGTCGCATTGTACGGAGATTATACCTTCCAGCCGTTTGGCGGTTTTTTGGTAGGACCATCTGGCAACATCGGAAACACTCCGCTATCTTGATTGTTTTTCTCCGTTCGTGTGCGGCGCGGCATCGCTGGAAATGTGGCTCTACAAAGTGCTAGTGCGTTCGAAGAGAAAATCTCTAGTTGTGAATTGATTATGAGCGACGATTATTTTATTATTCGGAAAGACAGAGCCGGATGTAGAGGGGAAGGGGTTCTGCTGGCTATCAAAAAGACTTTCCATGTTGAAAAATGCGATATAATTTTAAGTTTCAAGCGAATATGATCCCGTATAAGAGCACCGACTGTTTGCCTTCTGATTATCGCTTGCTGCACACCTCCCGGCATGTTGGATTTTTCTCGTTTACTTCAAGAATGCGTAGAACCGCTTGTTAGAACTTACTGTAATGATATGTACGTGCTCGATGGAGACTTTAATTTTCCTGATATTGTCTGGCCAGTTTTTCCTGCATCTATGCCCTTTGAAAGTTGGCGCACTCTTCCAAAACAATGTCGCAACTTTGTAGATGTAACAATCGCTTTCTCTTTGAGTCAAATGAATAATCATCCAACTCGTGGTTCTGCTGTTTGAGACCTCTTTTTCACTTCAAAACCCGAATGTGTAATGGGTGATCACCCATTACACATTGAGTGATCATGCGTCTGTAAATGCTGAAATGACCATTTCAACATATAATTATAACCCGTTGACTAAAACGATTTTAAATTATCTGAAAGCAAATGTTGATGCCATTTGCGCAAATTTATTATCATTTTCTACTTCATATTTGGATGGATTTGCTACTAGGTCTACTAATGAAAATTGGAATCTAGTTAAATTCAAATTGCTTCAACTGGCAGATATTTTTATTCCTTAAGTTAACCTGCACTCTAGCGTTGAAAAGCCGTAGTTTTCGGCACGATTGAAAAATCTGCTCAATAAAAAGCATCGTCTCTAATAGGAATACCAAGCAATCTAGATCCCAAGATGCATAGAAGAAATACGACCAATGTAATCTAACAACCAAGCTCGAAATAAAAAAACGCAAAAAGAAAGTATTTTAATGAAAACCTTGGTAGCATTATGAGGAACAATCTTGAAAAGTTCTGGACTGTGGTTAATCTAAAACAAGGAAGGGAGTCTTTTTCATTTTCCGATGACGTTGGAAACAATTTGAGTTCTCTCGTGGCGTGTGAGCTGTTCAGTCGAAATTTTAGTGAAGTCCTCTTAGAGGACCTCTTTCCTCTTCCGGATTACTACCCTGATTATAGTATGTATCATGAAATGCCTTAACTAACTATTGCTGCAACTGGCATTTTGAAATTATTGATGAACAGCACTCAAACTCCGCTCCCGGCCCAGATAAAACCAATGAAACTTCTCAAACTATGCAAACATGAGTGCTCAACCCTCCTTTCCTGATTTTTCGACAGTCTCTAGACACTGGCGAAATTCCCGATGATTGCAAGCACGTGCAGGTTATTCAAATACAACAAATTGGTTCAAAGAATGAATTTGGTAACTGCTGGCCAATATCGTTAACAAGTGTATTTAGTAAGCTCATGGAACATGTAGTATGTTCTAACCTTATGAATAATTTATGCATTAACAGCTTTAATTTTGTAAAGCAGCGCTGTTATTGGCAATCCCACTCCTGTGAAACGCAACTTTTCGAATTCAGCAATGATATTCATGAAAATCTGCATTCCCGCTTAGAAACGCACGCTATTTTCATGGATTTCAATAAAGATTTTGACAAAGTACCTTATCACCGTCTTATGTTAAAACTTCACTTGTTAAGAACAGACCCGTTTGTAACAAAATGGATTGCAGGCTTCCTTTCTAACCGAACTCAATGCATTCATCATGAAAGTAACGATTCGTTACGCCTCAGGGAACCGTGTTCGGTCCATTGCTTTTTTCTGATATATGTTAACGCCCTGCCCACTGGTATTCAGTCCATGATAAGATTATACGCCGACCACTCTGTTTTATTCCGGAAAAATGGAGGGCCCTGATGACTGTACGCTTTTGCAGAGTAATCTGATGTGCCTTGAGACGTGGTGTGAAGGGTGGCAGTTGCAAATTAACGTTTCCAAAACAAAATATCTGAACTTCAATAATAAACACACATCAACACCATTGAACTACACACTTTTCAGTATCCCAGTTGAAAATGTTCATACCTATAAGTATCTTGGATTTCATGCCCAATCTCTCGTGGGAACCACATATTAACCACGTAACGGCAAAGGTTAATCAAACTTTAGGCTTTCTAGGCCGTCCCTTGCACTTGGCAACACGGGAAAGAAAACTGATTGCGTACACATCTCTTCTTCGTCCCACGCTGGCCTACGCATCTCGCATTTGGAACCTATATCAGTCATATCTTATTGACAAGTTAGAAGCCATTCAAAACCGAGCCACCCGCTTCGTTCTTCGCAATTATACCCGTACACGTATAACAACACTAAAACAAAAAAAAAATAATATACCCCTTCTAGCTGACCGACGTAAAGTAACACGACGAACTGGCCTTCATCACCTATACTATCCTTCACCCTCAAAGAAAGAAACATATTGCTCAGCTGTTAACCACGTCTCGGCACGGACAGACAACTTACAGAAACTTCAGCTCGCCACTCCTAGAACTAACACTTTCAAATTTTCTCCGTTACAGTTATCGACATCAGAGTGCGATTCCCTCCCCGACGACATCGTAAGAGTAAAAGAGTCGATTAGATTTCGTTCCGAAATTGCCACTCTTTACAATATGTAAAAAAGAGCGGAAGGAGGAAAAGATTCCTAACTCTTGCCGACTTGTATCTGCGTTGTTGTTTTTGCCCCCCCTCCCCCTTCTATGTAAAGCCCCTACCGAGCGCTATAAGGGTATATTAAATGAAATAAAATAAATGAAGTTCCGGAAATGACCACGGGACGACATCAACCAGTGACTGCGATCAGAAATTTTGACACGGGGAGTATTTTCAACCCTTTATTTTATCTAAATATTCTTCATTCGCTGACGAAACAACTAGCCCTAACCAAGGAAAGTGAGATCGCTGGTGTATGTTCGGGTTTTACGCCACCGTATGAAGTGTTTTTGTCCATTTCTTTCTTTCATTCAATTTATATTTCTACTGTAAAATTTAGTTAGCACCGGCAGTACCTGAAAGCGTCTTTTGTAGCGTGGTGTTGAGCTGAACTGACAGTGCTTATAAAAACTGCAACGCGGAGACGATCGGCCTTCATAACAGTCGGTGAAATAAATATTTTTCAACGCTGTCTTTTTGCCTGCCGCCTGCTATGCGATCGCTTCATTCCCCAAAACACCCTGAGTATTTTTGAAGCAGATCAGGTGTCTGGTAGCGGCTGTTTCTAAGTTCCAAGGATCAACAATCATGATCAGAGTGGTCGTTTTTATGCTTTGATTTTTTAACCTTCGTTTTTTCTGGATTATTTTCATTATACTTTATCACCGGGTGAGTAGGCATGCCGTTTCGTTTCACTAACAATAATGTGAGCTGTTTTCTTGGCACTTCTAATTCCAACACCATTCTGAACGTTCACAACCGTAGCTGTGACCATTTCGGCAACCGCTTTCCGTAATTACGCAGTAAAAGCATACATCGAATTATTTTAGCTGCACGCTAAACGTTATTGTTAAATAACGTTCTCCGAGCATTTATTTCATTAGGACGTTATTGATAAGGAACTAGCTCTGCCATCGAAGCTATTTATGCTGTCGTGTTGCCAGCCCCGAATTCGCTCAGACAGCGATCAGGGCGACCTATGTCGTCCAACTCAAGTTGCTGCTGTTTTTGTTGCCGAAAGCTGTCATACCGAGGCAACAATTTAGTTGTCATCTATACTGTGCTGCTGTTTCCACGATGTGACTGGTAAGTGGGACAACGCGGGGAACGACCAACAAGTTGCCGAACTGTTGAACAGCGTGTTGTGTTGCTGTTGCCTTTGTGTTACCTAAGTGTGACAGGGCCTTTAAGGCCCTGTCACACTGAGGCAACACGACGGCAACAACAACAAGTACATTTAAGTACATTTAACTTAAATCAAATAAATTTAATTTAACAATTTTTCTCAGAAATTTTAGACTGTTTCCCCCTTGTGCTATTTGATCACAAAATCCAACGCTCATTGTTTTCTATTTAGTGTATGATTTGCAGTACCTAAACTACTCGCGTTTGAGTGTTTAGGTAGTTTATATAAATCTCCACCGCATTATTGTGTCTTATTGTAACTAATATATATATGCATAATTTCAAAAGTTTCGCACAATGCGTGTGTGTTTTTTTTTTTCTTTTTTCTTTACTCAATAATTATGTTCAGTGGGTCCGCTGACGAAGCGGACCCACTGAACGTTTCGGCTGCGATACGAATATTGGTCCTTCACCACAGGCAAAAGCAAATATCGGCACGACTTTGCGACGAATGCCCGGGTAATTATCGTTAAGGGCCGAATAATTATCGCGTCTCCAAACGCACTCGTTAAAACAATGGAAAAAAAGTTTTCCTCGTGCTTTTGACGTTAAGGAAATGACGGGAAGCGATTTGCTAGCACACTGACTTTAATGACTCTGAGGGGCACTTGCAGCTGGGCACTTACCCTGTCACCGACAATACAGCATGCAAGTTCATCGGTCCCTTACTCACCACGTGCGTTTGTTCATCCGCTGAATACACGAACGTGCTTTTATTTCCCCCCAACCTGAACCAATTGCGGCGCGATTTTGACTCCCTCACCATCACGCCTTTCCTGCGCGTTCCTTCTGTTGCCCTTCAATTAACCTGCACACTCCCCCTCGCCTTCCGGTGCGCCGAACGCTCATATCGGCCGACTTTCTGGCCGTATAGCAGTTTTGAATGCAGTTGTTAAGTTGACATATAAGATTTTGAGTTTAGTTTTTACCATTTCCTTACACCATTTTGTTATCTCCGCTAACATCTGATTTCATGAACGTCACATGGAAAATGAACAGAAACAAGAACGGCGTGGCAGGCCGAAGAGCGTAACCGCAGCCCGTGCGCGTGCGCAGGTCTCCAAAGCCGGCGGCAGGAGTTTCCGAGGGCGCCTAAAGCGCGCACCTGCACTCCGGCCGCGTCACGTAACACCTAGCAACCGACGTGTAGCGGGGGACAGCGGGGCTAGGGCGTACTTAGGCCACCAATGGGCACCGCGAGGCGGCGTGTACTAAGTAAGGTCATTAAGTTCACTAAGGTCACTAAGTACTAAGTAGGGTCACCCCTAATACAAAGGTAAGCCCAAGGTGGGTTAATTACTTGTAATCAGCCATCCGCAGAATGTCGCTACTAGGCGGCGTGAACGAGGGGAAGGGGGGGGGGGCACGTGTTTTAGTGATACATTAGCCGTTCCCTACTGCGAAACGCCGAAATCGGCGAAGGGGGACGTCGCAAGCGATTGTCGGTCCCTAGGAGCTCAATCCAACGTCAGCGCATGTACCAAGGCACTAGTTCTCACGCATTAATAAGCAGAATTTTCGTTAAGAGCCCTACCATGTAAGCAAGCTTGGACAGAAAAGAAAAAAGCAGATCCGCTCGATTGTTGCTTTTTGTTGCCGTTCTTTTACATATTTCAAAGTTTGCAAAAAAACTGTCCCTGTTCGTGCATTGTTAAATTTTAAAAAGCATGCAATTTGTTTTAGTTTTGAAGGTATGTGAAGCCCACTGCTGACACAGCCTCTAAATAGAAATCAATCTTCTCAATTGCATGCTTATCAAAACTGTCTGTAATTATGTAATGTGTCAGATTTACATATGCTTAATCTAATTTCCTGGGTTTGCCAAATGCGGAACCAGGATTTTCATAAATTACAACAAAAAGAAGTTGAAAGCAAAAAAAAACTGAACCCATATTTTTAAGCCTTGTGGGTAAATTTACCTAATCATCGAACATAAATATATAAACTATCAAAATCATCGTGGTTCAGGAGTGCTAACACACATATTCTCTCTTTTTTCACAGAAACAGACAAAGAAACTCTGTATTTCTGCCGAAGCGCCAACGCCTCCCAGAACGTACTCCTCGAAGCCCAAACGACGTAATACATAGCCAGAAAAGATGGATCTGGCTGTGCCCTATAGGCGGGCTGTCTCTTATTTTTATTTTCAGAGCGACAACCAAAATTTTACATAAAAGCCCAACAAATCGAACCGGCATTAGCAGATGTGGATGCGGAGACCCCTCGATAGTTGTGAATAGCGGGGCTCGGCCCTCGGGGCTTCTGTGCCCGTGGCCCGTGCCTAACGCCGGCCTTGACTAGAAGCATGGCAGGCACATGACACTTTAAGCACCTCAGCAAATTATTGTTTTAAAGACTGATAGACGCAGTTGAAATAAATACGTTAGTAAAAATGCTTTTATAACTGAAAGAAATGAAGGGGGAGCACGGATAGGCACCGGAACATCGCCGTCTGCTGACAGCTGACTAATCGCAGCAGGAGATATCCCTTGCTCCCGCTGTGTATCTTACGACCCCAGACACCCCAGATGTCTTATTTACTGTTTGAAGCCGCGAGAGAAAGCGATACGAAGAACACAAATGTCTTTGGGTGACGCGTATCATTTACATGTACGTTCCGCCCGCCACATCAACCGGCGATCCAGTCATGTAAGAGGACTTGTTGCTGCACAGGAAGAGGATCACTTCCGCTATTTCGAGAGGTTGTGCGTTCCGCTTCATGGGCACTATTTGCTGCAACCTCTTTCGCTTTGTTTCGTTGGAGTACTTTTGAGCCATCGGTGTTTCGGTGCCTCCGGGCAGGACGACGTTGACTCGGATGTGCGACGTTCCGAGCTCACGGGCCACGGATTTTGTGAACGCGATCACTCCGCCCTTGGATGCTGCATACGCACTGACAGTGGGGAAGCCACCCTTTCCAACTATACTGGCAATGTTCACTATAGACCCTAGTGTGTCGTTGTCGGCCAGCATGTATCTCACAGCTTCCTGTGTGACAAGGAACGTTCCCTGGAAGTGAAAATGCATAGTTAATTCTTGTGCAAATACCACTAATGTGGCAGTTAGGAAGCGCTTGTATTGTAAGAAGAGAAGGTATGCCGGTCAGCTGGCTAGGAACATTATTTTTTGGTTCATGGTTTAGGATATAATCTTTTAATTGCATTAGGAAAACGATGCAAGTAGATGTTAAAATATTGGCCAAAAAAAAAATAGGTTTACGTTTCGGCACATTTTTTTCTTAAATTTAGCCATTCCCAAAATGTATTAGTGACTTTTCCATATCACTGAAGTTTCCACTGTTTTATACTTTTCAAAAAAGTTCGAAAGACTGAATATGTTCTCATCAAATCGTGTTCACCTGTTTGTGAAGCCTATTGAGAACTCAGGAGGCCAAGAAGCCTTCTGTGGTATAGTTTACAGAAGCACAAAAAGGCGCATGGTAGCAATATGGTGTTAATATTCAACGTTCTAACTAATGAGAAAAGTCAACAAACACGTGTAACGTGTTCTATAATCTGATGGGGCGTAAGTGTCATCGTTGTCTTTCTTCACAATATTCTAAAGGCGACACTAATGCAGTTACAGCTGATTTAAACTGTCATCAAAACCCAGCACGCGATTTTTATGCTTGTTTGTGTTAAAAAGTTATTTGTAGCACCATTATCAAGAATTGTATGCTAATACATTCATACAGATAGCGTCCTAAAAGGTGATTCAGTAATTCATTCCCAACACGAAATGCGGTTCTTAGGTCATGCGAAGTACCTTTAGGTTTGTGTCCACCGTATTGTCATATGAACATTCAGACAAGTTGACCAGGAGCGTCGGCTTGTGCATGATACCGGCGCTGTTCACCACAATGCTAATGTTCTTATCAGGGTAGGCACCTTTGACGCATTCAAACATTTCTTTCACCAGGGTTGAATTTCTTACATCAACATAAGCTGTCATGTGTTCACTTTTGTCCCCTGAAATGACTGTGAAAAGAATGCACATTCAAAGATTGATTTGAATAACTCTAGGAAAAAATGACAACTAAGACATATATAATAAATGTGAGTCAATTCTGATTTGGAAGGCAAACCAAATGTCCTTTATTTATCATTCAAGGATCATTGACCTGTCCGGCAAATTAAAGCTTGTAATGTTCTCAGTTAGACTTTCAATAACTTTCTAGTCTTATCGTTCTTTCCTATGGGATGATTCAGTTAGTAATGAAAACAACAATGAGCGAACAAAACAAAATGCTTACTAAATTTTTTAGGACGAAATGCTGGCCTAAGGACTGGTATCGAACTACATAATTCGAAACCAGACCGACGAGCCTTTGGCTATTACTCCGAGGCTTATTGCACTCAGGTAGCCAAGGTAATCTTTATTTATTTACTTATTTATTTATTTATTTATTTATTTTAACCCTAAAGGCCCTTTTGGGGTTATTACATAAAGGGAACGTGATACAAAGATTGGTACAACTGAACCAAGTAGGAAAAAAAGAGTCGAAGATAATGAATAAGGGTACAAAGCATAAATTGAAGGTAGAAAGCATTTGGCGCAATTTTGGCCTCCAAACATAAGATTTAAAACATATGGTGTTTGGATAGCGTTAAATATGGTGAGCAGTAATGTACAGTACTTAAAAAAATATTTCCATTTTTTTCGGATCACCAAATATTTTCGCACCCATTTCTTTAGATGGATATACCGACCTTCACTCAAATTGTGCTCATTAACACGACTCGCCCTATTTATGCCAAATGTTTGGGACGCGTTTTCTTTTGCTGTAAAACAATTTGATAAAAGACGACATAACGGTTCATGGAATTGGAATAAAAAATTGGGGAGTGAGTGAGAGGAGGGGTTAGCTGGTTTATGTTACACATTTCTGAAATGCCGGAGAACATGAACGTGAAGGGGGCAAAACACTGAACATCTTCCAACACAGCTACTAAACTTGATTGCCACAAAGATATATATATCATTTCACACGCGCACGTCATCCGGAAATTTGCACTCGTTTTCGTGACCTTCAGCTAGGATTACATCTAGTATTGGCCTCAGTTCGAACCAGCGACCGCAATCGTGCAAAGTAGTGAAACCTATTATCCAATTTATATGTTAACACAAAAACCGGACCCGGCGCCACCCTTGCACATCCGTGCAAACGCCCCCCACTGACGCCTGTTAAGGTAACATAAAAAACAAAACCATTTCTTTAGAAAAATTACAAAATCAAAACGTTTCGGGTTGCCCTATCTAGGGCGATAGACGATTGACTAATACAATTGTCCTTCGGGGGTACCCTTTACTGTCTCCTACAAAACTCTTTTTGCGTAATATTTTTTCTTTGTTAAAGGACCATTTTTTTCTTTGTTAAAGGACCATGAATACGATTTGGAGGTCCCGTTTAACGATTGAAAGAGAAGTCATATGTATTGAAGGAATGTTGTCGAGGTTTTCTTCCGATCCACAAAAGTGGTGATCTGGTCGCTATCGTCGCCTGAAATGAATTTTAAAAAAATGCGCGTACAACGCGTGAATAACTTTGGGCAAACATAAACATACAGATATATAGTAAACGAGGGTGATTTATGTTTTAAGAGCCAAATCGTTAGTGTCCGGCGGAACAAAGGCTATTATTTTCTCCATTCAACTCAGAATCACTGTCCAACGTTTCACTTCTCTCAGGGTTACGTTGATTCCTTATAAAAAAATTGATGATTGAATATAGATAAAATATTATTATATTCATTGAATATTTAGAATACAAATGTTGACCCAAGGGTCGGCAGCAACGTAAAGTTATCAAGGGCAAAGCGATCTGCTTGTGGCAATCAGACCCAGGCGAACTGCATTGAAACAGCCGAATGACTGCGATGCCGGTTGAAAACAATAAAGATTCCCGGTGATGAAAATTAAACTTTAATTATTAATTTTACACGCAACATATTCAAACCGGTGAATGTTTCTCCAATGTCTATTATCGTCATTCAACTTGCAAGCAATTATTTCTGGAGATAAATGCAGCCAAGCCTCCTCTAACATTAAATATTTGCAATCACACGACACTCCTGCTCTACTAGATTACTGGGAGCGCAAAATGATTTTATGTAAATATAGTTAGTACATATAATCCAATAATATTTAGGATTGGGAGGGTCATTTAAGCAAATATCGCGCTTATTTTTAATTAGGATTCAAAAAGGTAGGTTTTGCAGTTACTGTGCTTGTACTGCGTACATTAGTGCACACTGACCCTTGACAAAATTTCTGAATCTGTGCATGTTACTAATGCTCCCCTATCCACGTGTGTGTGTTTATTGTTATGAAGAGATCATGATCGTGTACTTATAACTACAGAATTAATGATCAGAAATAGGGTGTGGTAAACTAAAAGCAGAACAGCTATTAAGCTGTTCCATCGTGAACACGATCATCTTCACAACTGACAATCCGAGTTGCACCAATGTGTGAGTTCAGATTCTTATACCGTAATATCCCGAGACATGGCCCCTAAAATCGCGAGAAAATGGAGTGAAAATAAGTTGCGGGTTAACTTTCGGAGTGTAATGAAGAAAAGTAAAAAAAAAAAATTATTTTCAGATCATGTGTCTCTTCTAAACTTCTCATCGCGGCGACGAGCGATTAAGGAGATATGACTGTGCTTTCCAGTCAGCAATGATCGATTATATCCCGCCATTGCTAACTAGACGTATTTACGCCGAAGTCATCATTCATCCCAACACTACGATTACTAGGAATGGGCTATTCTTCGGTGTTTAAAAGAAAATATCTAGCAAATCAAGCCAAAAATAGGTTGCGGGCGATCTCGGGTCTTTACGGTAACGATGGAACTGTTTCATAACATAGTGCTTATTACCAATGCAATATATATAAAGCATAGGAAAACAAAGACCACCTAAATCATATTAACATAATTGTTCTAGAACGCGGCAAGCAAATCGTATAAACTTAAACAATTATTGAGCTTAGTCAACTGCTCGGAAAACCAAAGCTCCGTCATTGTAAGTTACAATCTCGCCGCGGAAAAAATATTTCTAATATTTCTTTTTTTTTTTACATTTTACTACACGTCCAATCGGTGTGAAGCCTGCAATAGTTTACACAAGTGTTTTGAGAAAGGTTATGCAGCAATGTAAATTTTATTTTTAAAAAATGCGAAACCTGTCAAGTATACATTTTTTTACAGACAAAATCAACCAGATTTATCAATGAAACAAGAAAACAGCGCAACATCGCGATGGGACAAAGGACGACACAGGCAAAACAGGTGCTGACTAACATGTTTTTATTTGAAAAAAACATGAAAACACAAAACATAACCTGTACATACTCAGTATATAGTTTCTTAGGAAAAAAAAACAGCCATTTGTTAGTGCATCGCCTGGTCTGCCTGTGTCTTCTTCTGAACCGTTGTCCTTTTGCGCTGTATTCTCGTTTCAATTGATCACCAGGTCGCCCAGATTTTTACGCTGCTACATAATTGTCAACATTCGCTGGGAATCGAGCAATCAGCAAAAATAATCCCCTGCTTATTCTTAATCGCAAATATTGTCGTACGTAATTTACTTCTAAATTCACCTAATTTAGTGCGTACGTTCTGACGGAGTGAAGATTTTTTGATGAAGGAATGCTCACCATAAAAGTATCTTCATTTCATAACGCGGGCATAATAAACTTATATAAATACTTACTTTCTCAGCTGGATAAAGCTTTCACCAATTTTCCGAGGGGTTGTTAGCATATGCTAGGGTTGTTCAGGTTGGCAGTCATATTCTCGCGGAATTGCAGCACTCGGCAAATAAAAGAACTATCTAAACGTATTGGCCAATATCAGCATAAAACAAGCAGTAGCTGAAGACGGCGAACTACGCCGTTTCAGTAAATATAAAATATAAATATTTTGTGGTGGCCTTCTTTGACTTATACAGTGGCTTTTTTATTGCACAAGGTCTCAGTCAGTTTACGTATCTCTAATAATCAGCATAAGATCAGCCTTGAGGCAAGCTTCTGTATGATACGTACCGCAAACTAGAACGTTTAGTTTAGTCAGAAATAAATATAAAGTGGTACAATATTTCAGTACCGCTAAGATAATTTAGTTGATATTCCTGCAACCAATTACACGACCTAGGGGCATACCACGTACATTGTTCATCTCTTCTGATAGTATATGCGTTTTGTAGTTAACAATAGTTAAAACGTGAATAATGTGATCCAGGTGAACACAAATGTAAAGTTGCATTCCCCATTTTGTACTGAGAATAAAGTATAGAACTCCGAGGAGACGCAGATGCTACTTAAATTGTAAGTGACGGTACCCACCTTTCAACATTTCGAGGGTTATATTCGAGCCGGTTGAGTTTATGTCAGCCACCACGACAATGGCACCCTCGCGAGCCAGAACTAAGCAAACACTCCTGCCGATTCCACTTGCCCCGCCTGTGACGATCGCCAGTCTACCTTTCAGTCCATAGGAGGAATTTCCTATGTCGGGCATATTCGTAGATGATGTTTCATCCCATGCGGTATATGTCGCTTCATTCTCTTCACCATAGCATTTATCCAAGTCCTCATTTGAGCCGGATGAGAGGTATCTTGTCAGAACTACACAAAATGCCAAGTAGTAGGAAGAACGCTTAAGAATTAACATCGTGAAAGGAAGTCGATAGGTTTGTTTAGAACGCAAGGAAGAGAACACAGATTCTAAGCCAATGCTTTTTAATGTTACGCTTATATATAAACCGAAATCAAGGCGTCAACATAGCAACACCCGCCTCCAAAATGACGCAAAGAAAATGCAATACCATCATTCGTCAATTCAACGCCCTATAAGAACAACTCGAGACCGCTCCTACCATAAAAAAGCAGCGAAATAAAAAAAAAATGCTACGTTTACGTCATTTGAGTCTCCGACTTTTCTGCGTCATTTCATTATACAATACCCTTCAAAATAAGTTAACAACTACCCATTGTCAAGAGCACCCCTGAGCTTGTGCGGAGGGGGTTAGGCAGCCGAGTGTGTTAGCGCATTGGAGCTCGGGGAACGTGGTGCAAGCTGCAATACTCAGAGGAGGCATTCTGATATGAGACTACCCCCTATCAGGCAATCTCAGAGGAAACTTTCTCATAAAAGACTCTCTCCTATGAGGCTGCCTCGTCGCACTGCACCAGGGATCCTTAATTCGATACCCACACTGCCCGTTTCGATCTGGGCGAGAATCATAAAGGCGTGCGGTCGTGTATCACTACTGCGTAATGCACGTTACAGACCCAGAGAGCCGATTTGCTGGTGAATGGGGTTATCTATCCCGGTGGTTAAAATATCCGCAAGAGAGATTCTGAGGTCGCGTGACCTGCTCCGTGGAGAGAAAGAGTCTAGCGCTCCAACCGATTCCGCACAGCAGACTTAAGCCTTGCTTCCCGTTTTCTTTTATTCTCGCTCAGCCATGACCTTTCCCAGAAATATATTTACATGCCGCTCTTGCACGAACGCGATTAATTTCACACACTTCCTGCACACAAAATCGAACTTAAATAAGCGAAGCAAGAAAACTTACTGCAGCCTTCTGCCTGGAACGCTTGGTACCTTTAGTTTCTTTACACCACGGAGCCGGTCACGTCACCTCAAAATCCATCTGGCAACCATTCTAACCACCGGGAGAGATAACCGCATTTAACAGCAAACAGACCCAGGCTAGCAGTGGAAGTAAACTGGCTACATTTTTCATTTACAGCGTTAAGCAGTATCGCCGCACATCGAAGGCAGGCCGACCTTACGCATGGTCAGCCTGCCAAACACGAACGTCCCATTAGGCTTTGGTTTCTGGCATACGGGAGATGACAGGACGGAAAGAAGTACTGCGTCAGCTTGCGGCTGAGAATGCCGCTGCCACTGCATGTACCCCAGTACCATTCAAACGCTGGCGCAGCAATTGTGTTCAGCCTGTGCCGAGCGCCGACCCGTGGTACGTGGCGTAGTACGTCCGGTTCCTTACTCCGTTCATGCCTAAGCTGAGAGGAGGCTGATTGGCCCCGTCCGGTACTAATCAGCCGACTCTCCTTCATTACCCGACCCGCCACTCTGCGCGTGAGTATGAAAGGGAGCCTGATCATGTGACGAAATAGAGGCGTATGTCTGGTCCAACGAGGACGTACCTTCCGCCTAGTCTAAGCTTAGGACTGAACGACGTATAGGGCCTTGCTATCTAGGAATTGCTGGCTTTGCTTCGAGAAATGTGTAACTCGTTTGCGGAACAAACCCAAGTAGCGCAGTTCTTTTAGCCAAGAATTTCGTTTTTGTTTGGCTATTCAGGAATTTGAAAGTCCGAAAAAGCAAAGAAATAACCAAGCTTGATTTTTTTTTGTTCAGAGTATGAGTGTTTTGTTACCTAAATCGCCAAACACTCGTCAGAGTTGCACTTCACTACCCGGTAAGTCTATCTGGCAGCCAGGGTTGGGAAGTAGTGCGCTCCACATGCACCGCGATGGTATTTCAGAAATGCATTATGTATTTATATTTTTGTATTGCAATACCATTTTTCAAATGCATTTTCTATTTCTGTAGCCACATACATTTTCGGGTTTGTTCCTAGTACCGTGATGCTATTAGGGGCCGATTCATTTGGCAACTATTTTCATAGAATCGTTGACCTCGACACAAAAGGTAAAGACCAAGTTTCATCTGGGATGTTTTGTCCCTGATCATATATGACCCTCTTCTCCATTCTGTAAATGATTACCAAGGCTTCCTCGGACTTCCGGTGATCGATCTCTCTTGTACATTCAATAGACCGATCTCACAGCCAATTTCATTACGCCACCGCTGCCACCAGGCATCGTGGGAACTTTAGACTTTTCGCAAGCGCGACAACCCCACTGAGGGCCTCCGCGCGCAGAGCAGGAGGCAGCACGAGCTGTCCCGTGAACTGGCGCCTGCCTCCTATGAAGCGCGGTTAAGGCGGCGACACGCATGCGCGGAACGCTTCCCTTATATCGGAAGCATCTATAGTCGCTTCCGATATCGCCGCACCTAACAGGCAGATAAAAAAAATACGGGCTCCTTGAACTTCATTCAATGGGGACGTCGTAAGGTCAATGCTGAAGGAGGCGCCCGGATTGGTCGAAATCCCGGTGACTTCTCGAGCTTGTCCGGGAGAACACACAAAAGATTTAGAGGTTCCTGCGATTTTGCTTCAAAAGGATAATAGACGCCGATAAAAACCCTAGCTCAAGCAATGGTGATGGAGAAAAAAGCTTGCTTTCCTACTACAACGTACTATGCAATATGTTAATTCGAAGGTAAATTTAATTCCAGCGAAAATATGTTTTAGTCAAATTAAGACTGCATCTTAAAGCAGGTGCTTATTTGTTGGTTTATGAAAAATTTTCTCAAATGCTAGATTAAGCTTATAGAGCATTTTATATAATGCTTCTTTCTTCTTCTTTGTGTACAGTACCATGTGCATTTAAATAGTTTTCTTCTGAGCCAGCCACGGCACTGATGTCACCTCACTTCAGGGTTCCTTGTTGCTTTGCATAAAGCATGCCCTGCACAGGTGTGTGCGCGCTACGCACCGTTGCGTTTCAGAGTGACTGCGTTACATCGAAAAACCAAAGCCGAGTCACCGGCACATCTCTGCTTCGTATGAACCGTGGAATCCAATTCAAGGAGTAGCTTGGCACGCCACATAAGGAGCAGGAATGTCCTGGTTTTTCGCAGCCGCAACGCAGTCAAACGCACTCAAACGCTGTCAAACACAACTATACGTAGGGACATTGAAACATGTGGTCGTATGGCTTCGTGCGTACCTAACACATAATTTACACGCGCAAGTTGGAAGCATCACGAGCTCGCGCATACATGAAGCTACGTGTGCTGTAATGTCATGTCCACAAGCGGTACCGCGAGCAACGTTACATCCGTATTTGACGCTTTGACTTCTCCAAATAAGCTAAAACCTAAAACCTCTAGCCCCAAACGCAACAAAGTGGGATTAAAAACATCGGACTCAAACGTCCAAGGAGCGTTGGGTGGGAACGGCTCGAGTTCCGTTCTTGCACTTGAGCAGGCAAACGGCAAACGAACCCGACCGACGCCCGCCAACCGATAACCAGTACATTTACGAATACGTGCCTACTCTGCTTACAGAGGGGTACGCAGCGGTATGATGGCATCGTTGGCCGTGGAACTGACGCAGTCAAACTAGCGTCTACGGCCCATGCAACGTATGCGACGACGCCGCAATACCCTGCAGCCATAGAGTTCATCCTGCAGCATGGCGACTGGCACTGGTTGCCGTTGCGTACGACAGATGGAGCTTTTTTTCTCTGAGAGGCCTATTTCATAAACTTTATGGTAATTGGTTAAACTATTTAAGATGACCACAGCAACAAAACACGGACCATTCAAAGACCAGAGAATTCCTTCGCCCATCTTAGAAAGTCAGAAAGGGAGATCCTGCCATTGGCAAGCTGGCCTTGCGACGTTGTTTTTTTGTTTTTTTTTTGTTTTGTTTTTTAAATGTGTGGGTGCGATGTTGCGTGGCTTGAGAGCCTTCTTACCAGGCACATATCTTTTTCTTCATTTCAATCTTGAATCATCGGATGCAAATTATGCTCATCTGCCGTGCCCTGTGAGGATATTCAATTATTTACAACCTGTGTCGGAGTGGTAGTACAGATCTACGATCGCTGTATATTTGCCTATGTGCCGACCGTCATGCCGTGGGTTGGCATGCATTCTAGATGTCATTCTCCAAGAAGCATTTCAAGGCGTAATAAAGGTTCAGATGCCTGGACTTCCTAATGTCATAGGTCCCTTAATTTTGGTTTCCCGTGAGTGTATGCTGCAATTATTGCTTTTCCCTAGCCTGATCATGTACGCGGTTAAAATGAGAAAATTCCTTTTGAGACAAGTCAAAACCAAAAAGTATGTTTTTAGGAACTTTGGAATGTGGGGGGGGGGGGGGGGGGGGAGAGAGAGAAAGTTTAAAATGTGAAGAAAAGTATTTTCGAGAATGGTCAAAACCAGAAACTATGTTTTGAGAAAGTTTGAAAGGAGAAGGGTTAAAATGAGACAAGTCGTTTTGAGAATAGTCAAAACACTAAAGTTTGTTCGGAGAACGGTTTAGGTGAGAGAGGGAGAAAAGCGAAATTTGTTTTGCGCTGGGGTGAAATGATAAGGTGAAAACGAGAAGGTAGAAATGCGAACGGGTTCAAATGAGAACCACCCCAATTCAGTCTACAGCTGCGTGTGACTATAGGTCCTGAATTAAAATCACGAAATTGGCTCCGCCGGTCTGTTTTGAGTCTCGAGCCTCTAGGCGATGTTGCAAACTAATTCCTTTACTCGATAAAAATATGAACCAAACTCATCAAGCCGACTGTTTCCTCTTTATTATTTAACGAGACCAGCAGATGCGGTCGTGGTCCCATTTCTCTTTCCAGGTGTGCACATGGCAACGAACTGTGCAGCATAGCCTCTTTACCTCAATTTTTTTATAAATATCTGGAAACACTGGGTGATTCCAACAATTAGAACAACCAAAACCCAGACAAGCACTGCAGCTGTCGTAGCAACGTGAAACCGTCACTGTAGCAAGCAAAAGCGTGCGCTAGTCAAACGCATCATCACAGAAACGCGAACTCCGAGGCGCTCACTCTACGTGACACATAAGCGAGACGACATCACACCTAATCAATCTGCC